AGCTATAATAATAATTCCTTACTCCTATAAAGCACTTTTCTGAACACTCCATCCAAAGTGCTTAACAGGTAATGGGGACTCATCCCCACCATCACAAATGTGCAGCATTTACTGGCAGCCATAGTGCACCACAACACTCACCACACATCAGTGGGGAGGAGAACAGGGTGATGAAGCCAATTTATAGATGAGAAAGTAGGAAGCCATGACTGGTAAAGGCCAGGAGGAAACTTATCCAGGACACCAGGGTAACACCCCTACTTGACTTCAGGGTCATGACCTTGGTTTTACATCTCATCCAAAGGACAGCACCTTTTTACGATATAGTGTCTCCATCACTATACTGCGCAGTAAGATCCACACAGATCACAGGGTGAGTGCCCCCTACCGGCCCACTAACACCTCTTTCAGCAGCAACCTTAGCTTTCCCAGGAGGTATCCCATCCAGGTACTGACCAGGCTCACATCTGCTGAGCTTCAGTGGGCTGCCAGTTGTGAGTTATAGGGTGATATACAGTAGCTGCTGGCAAATGACATACTATCCCATTTTATAGTGTTTATAGTGTTGGTTTAAACCTAGGGTTCCCATCTGTGAGAAGGTAAAGCAATCCCACACTAAGACAGACCTACCAATGGCATTAACATTTAAAATTGTTATTGTAGCATTTCCCAGTTTTTCCATATGAACATTTGGCAGAAGCATATAGAAAGAATGTTTTCTCTCTCTATATTTGTTGATAATATTTACACCATTAAAGGGAATTTCTCATTTTTATGTATGAGTTACTGAATGTTATGACTCTAATATTTCCTCTTAACACTGTAGTTTCTCACCCTTAAACCAGACAGGAGTACGAAAATCAACAGAAAGGAAAAATACTGCATACTTAAAAAGAAGTGTTCTGTTTACTGTCCTTCTTAACACAATTTTGTCATTAAACAATTATATTCAGGACCCATACAAATGGGGAATGTTGATGTAAAGTTCAAGTTTTATATAAATATTTGGTTCGATAATAACGTGACAAAAATCGTAATCCGTGTTACTTTATGATGGGGTTATAGTTTGCAGAATATGGAATATGATGGCATATTACTAATGAACCAAAAACATAGAGCAACAATGGTAACGTGAAAGAACGATAACATTTGGGGAGGTTTAATCAATTTAAATATGACTTGCAGCCATTTTAGTAAGCAATAAATCACGTATTTGATGTCTTGGGTTTATGTGCACAGAAGGTAACGAAACAGGGGCAAGAGAATATTGTGATATACTCCATATAGAATAACGTGTCAACGCCAACGTAAAATCCGACTTAGCATTTACTGTAAGAATATTAACTACGTCACAATCATGCGACTACGATTTAAACGTATGACTACATCCATAAGCGACAGAAATTTAGCAAGATGGCGTCTGTGGATGTTAGGGGTAAATTTTGAGTTTTGTATTTTTTCTCTTTGTGTTTCTCTGTTTACTTTAAGCTCAGAAATAAGTGGTTCAGCGTAAATACTAATGGCATGAAAGTGATTTGTACACAACTACAATGTCTGAATACGTCCCTGTACCTTTTTCGAAGTATTCTGTACAGATACAGTACTTGCGAGAACCGGAGGAAAAAGAAAAGATTTTTAGTTTGGGTTTTAAAAATCACTCGTAATAGAAGAATACGTGTATTTTATAATCTACTGATATATTATACAATGTATGACCATATCTCTGTAGAGTTTGTTTATATTTATGAATTCATTCCACGATATCCAGGGTCTGTATATGGAGAAATTGTGGATGTTTGGGGGAAAAAGCGTGACACGTTAGTAAAATACATGGTTTCTTAGCATTCTTGATTTAACTCCGGCAACGTTGTCATTTTTATTTTTTACCTTTTCCGTGTCCTAATTATGATGCCTTACTACAGCATTTGGACAAAAACGAATTATAATATGCATTTTCTGGAAAGAGACTTTAGACTTTAAAAACGCGTTGGGTTATGAATAATAACTATGAAAACATAATAAGCGCCTTAACAGTGCTATTTAACTGCAATACATATTAAAATTAATGTGGCATATTAGTTTCATCTCCTTGATCATAAGGGGCGGATCATTGTGTTTTTAACATTGGCAAATGGTGCTTCTTTCCCTCAGTTTCAAATCACTAAAGGCATTCTATCTTGCTGAGTTAAACCTCCGTACTGAATTAGATTTAGCATTATTCGTATTTTGAGGTGGTGTCTGAGATATTTAGATTTTGCATCTTGACAAGACATTGGGAATGACATTATTAATACAAAAGAAGACCAAAACAGAAACTCAGAAGCAGTGTGAATCTAACAAAGCACTTGAAGTAACAAGCATTTGTAGGATGCTTATGTTTTAGAAAGAAATTAAATGATAATTTCTACATATTAATTGCTAGAAATTAGCACGAAATATCATGGCTTACAAGTAGTCATTTCAGACAGCTCTGACTGGGGGAAAAATGATGTACGGGCACTTGTATCCCAGTGTGTTACAGAGTAGCTGGGGGAAAAAGACTTGACCTTCTTGAGAGATTCTGTTGTTTTAAAAAGCACAATTCTTTTTGACTGTGGACCTGTTTAATGAGGGCTTAATGTTTCTTCACAGACAACCTTCTGGGAATATCCTGGGTGGACAGTGGTTGGGTGCCCATCCTGAACCCAGGCAATGTACTGGATTACTTTTCCGAGAGAAGCAACCCCTTCTATGACAGGACCTGCAACAATGAAGTGGTGAAGATGCAGAGACTCACTCTGGACCATCTAAAGTAGGTGCCTCTTGCCCCTCGATCAGAATCCCCCGAAAACAGTCCAAGGGGATTCCTAGTGGCTCAATCAGTGTAGAGTGCAGATTGTGTCCCAAAGCCCAGAAATCACCAGTTCATGCTGGGGCACATCATGTCCCGTGCAGTGGCAACATCCTTGGCTCTTGCAGTCGTGTCACTGAGATGCATGACTCCAGCATGTCAAAAGATGGTCAGATGGACAGCTGCTTATTCTCAGTTTCTGATTGTTCAGGACAGGAACAGAATTTGTATTAAACTCGGCCAATTTAATCAATTGGTGTTTTTTTAGGTAGGTGTTTTTTTAAATAAAAATAATTGATGATTAAAAAAATGCTCAAGACTTTCATTGTAATGCGATATTGATGACACAGAGGGAACCCACTTAAGGATTGTTGCCTATTAGCCATGTTTGTTGTTATTCGAAGATAGAACAGTGCCACATAACTAGCGCACTAAGGAAACAATGCAGGTCTTTCCCTGAAATGATTATAACATGTCAAAAAGTATTGTGGGTGGTTTTCTTTTGCTTTAGGGCTGCTAGCACACTTGACCATTCAGGTGAAAATTTGAAATACATTTTGGGGTCATCTTTGCTGCTCAGAATCAGTTTTCTATATGTTTTAGCGGACATATGTGTGGAGTTTTGCCGCTTTGTTGAGGTTTTATAATATTGGATTGCCTTAGAGGCTTCTTGAGTTTAGGCTTCGGAATTGGCATTTGTCTAGCAGCCTTGCAGTAGTAAAAACCTAAATTTCAGATAGGTAGGTGATGTGATTTCAGAGATACCTGGTGTTTAATAAGGAGCAACAGTCAGTTTTGTATTCCTGACCCACTGCAGTAGTTTCTGAAAAATATATACAGTATACACAATATAATGTATGTGGTTTCTGGCAAATGTTCTGTAAGATCAAAGATAACTTTTGTGGGATGGCTTTGTTGATTTTGGTGAGCAATAGTCCTGATTTGTTTATTTAATATTATTTTTTTCCAGGACTAGTGAGAGTTAGGGTTATGTGAAAATTGAGAATTGTGAAAATTGTTAAACTGTACTTCTGTGAGTTATAGATATGGGATAATTTGCTTAAAATAATAATGACTTTAGAAAACATCTTTTGTGTGTGTAATTGCAATGCTTTTTTTTGGTGGACAGTGCTTCTTGGACAGTTACTTTGTGAGGTTGGATGTAAAATGTTGAAAGAGTCTGTCATTTCTCAGCCAGATGGTGGGAGTTGAGTACATTCTGCTTCACGCACAGGAGCCCATTCTGTACATCATTCGAAAACAACAAAGGCAATCTCCCAGTCAAGGTGAGAACACAATAAACGGCTGTTATTGCTACGTTGCCTGAGATGAAAATCTGCTTTGTTCAAATATAAGGATTTCTTTACTCTCTCCATAACTTAATTTTATTGTTAATACAATTTTATTCTGTTGTATAAATGTGTCATTTTCATATTCCATGCACAGTTTATGAATGGATTTGTATTGAATCTGGGGTTCATCAAAGAGCTAGGCTCATACATGCAGTGGTGTTTTATGAAGTACATGCCAGAAATTGAGCGTTTCCAGTGTACTGCTTACCTGTGTTACTAACATATATTTAAACACTTGCTGTAGTTTTTCCTTCATCAAATGATCACCTAAGGACCCCCCGATGTTAACAACATAGCCTCTCCCAATGCAGATGAGGCATGAGAGAGAAACAAAACTTATCAAATGCATCTCAATACTTCACCTTGAAATGATAGCGTGTTACTGTTTCAGGTCTCTTTTCACAGTACATCTGTCCTAATGCCTGTACTTTTCTCCCTGTGTCTGTGTTTGTAGTTATCCCCCTGGCTGATTATTACATCATTGCAGGAGTGGTATATCAGGCTCCTGACCTGGGCTCTGTGATAGGCTCCAGGGTGGTGAGTATCTAATGCAGTGGTTCCTAGCCCTGGCCATGGAAGAACACTATGTCTCCTGGTTTTCCATCCAGCTGACCTCAGCATCTCCAGTGCTAGTTGTTGATTTAATATGCTTACTTGCATAGACTGTTATTTAACTTGTTTCTTTAACCTTTAGTCTTGAGTGTAAGATCTATCCTGTAAGATTTCTTTCCCAACAGTTTTAGCATACAGACTTTTACATTTTGCTTGCTGTTATTTCTGATGAGACTGCTCTTACTAGTTGATCAGTTGATGCTGAAACAGGCACAGGTGGAATGACATGCCCATAGTGGGAGTGACACTGCATCAGACATGCAATTGGTTTCAATTCAACCAGCACACCTAAAAGAGGGCAGCTGTCAATCTCAGAAGTTGGTACAAGTGTGATGCCAATTACAGTGCATATTTGAGCTTTTAAAAATCGAAAGAAAATGTATAAATATACCGAATTGAAATGAATTAGTCTGTGATTATCTTATTTATTGATATATTATTCAGGATTTGTCATCTCACAGTTTGCATTTTAGTAAGTGAAAGAAACTCTTCGTTTTTTTTTCCCGTTTTAAATTAAACAGGCAAGTAGTGGAGGGGCGAGCACATCCAAACTACGAAAGCAAGTTAGCCTATAGCTTTTTTTAACTTTAATGACAGGATTTACAGATAACACATATTCAAAGTAAAATAATTTACTGCTTTCATCTTTCAGTATATTGTTTTATATAATTAACTGTTTACATTATGCTAACATAAATGGGAGGTAACATATAGAAATACAGTCGGCAAAAACACAACAAATAACCAACAACCTACACAAAAGATTACTTCACCTCTTTCACAGAACAAAAAAAGGTCTCATTGGGGCCACAAACCCAATCCATGATCCATGGTTCTGGTGCTGGGGTTTCTTTAGTAAACACTTTCTTGTGATAGGTTTCTTACTGGCAGCTAAAAAAAATCCTAATATATACCCTTTACTTCCAAGTAGAAAAAAGAAAAATTACCCAAATATACTGCAGAGAATTCATATCGTATGTCCAGGTTTACTATGTTATTAAGGGCAAAATGTATAGATTTACTATATTTTTGTATTTTCAGGCATGACCGTTGCCTGTAAATGAATTGCTACTTGCTCTCCACGTAACCTCTAACATTGTGTACTGTTTCCCTTTTGTTTTACTTCAATTTTAGGACCGATGAAAAAGAAATGAGTCAAGTTTTTCCAATGGGTTTCTGCAGATTTGAACTAGTTGAGCTTTCTTGAAGTCCTCATATGTTTTTCCACTGTTCTGCAGAAATGGTTTTAAAATTTTCTTTTTCCCAAGTTAGCTTTTTTCTGTGAAGTCATTCTGATTCAGTGTTAAAGCCACCTTGTTTAGTCCACCAATAAAACAGAATTTAAACAAGGTACGTCTTGGCTACAGTTAGTCTCAGTTATTGTAGAAGTCATTTACAGTAGGGTTATGAAATGAAGAAGGACTTTATATTTCTGTTTTTAACGAATGAAAATTGCAGGAGGCAGTATACACTCCCTTGATTACTCCACAAACTTATGACTGACAGTTTTTTTTCTGATTTGACTGGTTACCTTATGATCAGACTCTGTGTTTGTCTTCAAGCTGTCTGCTGTGCATGGGATTCAGTCTGCATTTGATGAAGCCATGTCCTACTGCCGCTACCATCCCTCCAAAGGCTACTGGTGGCACTTCAAGGATCAGGATGATAAAGGCTAGTGCATTGTGTGTTTTTAGCATTACTGTGTCGTGGTCTGCTAACGTGTGCAAATTAAACATTAGATGTCTGTCAGAAATGGTTTCTGTAGCACTGAATAAAATGTAGATTAGAATTAGAACTTTAGTAATATGATATTTTACAGCATAGTTCAGATTAATTAATGTTACCATTCTTTTCTTAAATAGTATATTATTGTAATGTTAAACTTCCCACTTCTTAGAACAATATTTTCCTACAATGGCTATACATTTCAAGATGTATACGTTGCAGAATTATTTTAAAAAGATTGGCTAATTTAATGATTGCATTAATATTTTTTGTCAAATAGTACTTGTTGGGGTTACCTCTTCTGTGTTTACGGAACACTAGTTCATCTCAGAAAGTTGTAGCGAGGATGTTGAATTTAAAATGATTTTAAAATGCAGGATGCAATGCTTAAGTCTGCAAACATTGCCTAGAGCTATGACTTTCAGCGGGAACCGATTATCCCACAGTAGCATTTTCCAGCTAGGCGAAAGATTGAATTTATTCCCTAGAGTTGAATCTGAACTTTGTCGTCATTTTGAATCTCCAGAAAAAGCAAAACCGAAATCCAAAAAGAAGGAGGAGCCCAGCTCCCTATTTCAGAGACAGAGGGTGGACACTCTGCTCCTGGATCTGAGACAGAAATTTCCTCCAGCCTTCTATCAGGTAAAACCATCCCACCAAGAGAACAACACGAGAAGCCTGTGTATGGCAGTCGTGAGCTGTGGGCTCTTGAACATACGCTGGAATTAGTGTTACTTTTGCCTTTTAATTGTGGGTAAATGTGAAGAAATATTGATGGACAGAAATCTCAAAGCTGGTTCTTTTTTGGTACATCAGGTACCGTTGTACATAATATTTGATGCAGTTCACACTATGAGAGCAGTACTAAATTTGTACAACACAAGGTGAATAGGAAAGAGCAGATGTACAAGGGGTAACGGGGGTACTGGACTGCTTAACTGTGACGCACACATAACACACTCTTTTTCTTTTTAATTTTCTTTTTAAATTCTAGTTAATGTTACTAGCATCAGCAAGTAACATTAACATAAGCCAAGTGTTTTGACCACACTTTACTGTCTTAGACAATTTTCTCCTCATTTCGGAGGAAATGTGTTGCAGAATTGTTTGCCCTGCAACATAGGAGTTCAAAATCTGTCCAAAAACAATTCCATACAATTTCTGGCAATTACTTGTTCAAAACTGTGAGTGGGTTTATGACGTTTAGTGTTTTTGTAAGCTGTATTGGATATTTGTTCCGAATGATTATTTTCAGCCCTTGCTATTACTACAGAGGACGTCACAGTGCTTGGATAATCCCCACTCTTTTGCTAGTTTCATGCCCAGTGTTTCCTCTGGAAAGAGGAAGCCTACCCATGGAAGATTCCTGCATCCAAGATTTGTTTTCTCTTTAATTAATCATGTTTTTTTTTAATCAAAGTCAAATTGCACTTTTAAAGATGTCAAACTTGCTTGAATGTTTTTAAGTCTAGGAAGTATACACTACACTAGACGTACGAACAGGGTGTCAAGCAATGCGGGAAATCACAAGACTCTGTATCCTGTTCCATTTTGTTGCACTCATTGTCTATTTTAAGGTGTTTTTAAATTGTGCCGTTTTTAAAAAAGTATCATTTGACGACTGGTGATATAAATTGTGGATTTATGGAAAAAAAAGTCAGGGGGTCTAGGAATCATCATCTTATTTTGTTCATAGCTATTTTTGAGATTAGGCTTTAGTGTAATTCACTTGGTTTCTGTTTCATTTTCAGCCAAAGCCTGGAGAGAAGCCTGTTCCAGGTAAGACCAGGTGTTTTCTAACAATTTTGTTCTTTCCTCTGCTGTCCTACAGAGTCTTGTACCAGCAGTTAATCTTAACATCCCTAACGTGTGAAATTTACCATAATTGTCAAAAAGTGATTACCATATTTTTAACTGCATATTGAATTTTTTTAATACATGTTCAGATTTACTGTTTACTTGACGTGTTACATGGTAGGCTGCTTTATATTTGATTCAGTTTTCAAGCAGTAATAATCATCACATTCTTCATTTTCATTGCTGATGAGCCAAAACGTGTCAGTTTTCATATTTCAACAGATTAAGAAAATACTGATAAGTTGCTGAATTTGAAGCAGGGGGAGACAAGAATACTATTAATCATCTTGAAATAGATAGGACAGTGAGTATAGGAGATGGTTTTAAGCAGATATCTCTGGTGTTCACTACTTGTAAAGTAATAGCTATCCTTTATTAATGGGCAAAACTGAATAACTGCTATAGCTGCGCTCATCAAAATAAGAGCACTTCTTGAAACTTTCCGCTAAAAGCTTCAAGAAGTGCTCTTATGAATGTTTTTCATTGAAAATACAATGAGATAGTTTATTATGCAGTGATTTGGATGTTACTGTTGTACAGCAGTGGTTGAAGGACTGGTGTTGCGCAGTATGTGGAAAGCCCTATTGCGGGGTCACGTTGTTTCTGAGTCAGCTGGTAATGAAACCACAGGCCCGTGCTCTGCTGGCTTCGTCACGCCTGCTCTCGTTCACTCATCTCTGTCTGTTTGCTCCTGTGCAGTGGAGGTGAAGAAGGAGCCTGAGCCTCCGGCTGAAGCGGCAAAGCAGGAAGAGCGCGAAGCCACCAAGACCCCCGCGCCAGCTCCGCCCAGCAAGGCCCCCCCAGAGAAACGGCCTCGGCTGCAGTGATGCCCCCCCCCGCGTGCAGACGAGAGAGGGAGCTGCGGGACTGGCATGCAGGAAGTCGGAGGACGCGTTCACAATGCACGGCCACGCACTCGTGCACTGGGGGCGTTTAAAAATTGATGCTGGAGAGCACGCAAAATAGAGGATGGAAAGAACTCAGGGAGCCAGTCCGAGCTCCTCAAGGACTGTCAGCCTGCTTGAATGTCAGCATGTAGCTGTAGCAGGTGGTGCTCTTTTTCAGGTTCAGAGTGAGACTTTGTGTCTCATCTGGCGTGGATTGTGAAAGATTTACAACAGCTTGACAAAGTGCTTGGAAGGAACTTAGCATTTCAGTCCTTGATACTGGAGAAGGAGCCAATTCTAAATACCCGTTGTGTGCCTTGAGGGCTGTGATATTTACAGAGGGGATCCAGACTCCATTGCACATGGTCCTGCAATTAAGACCAATCCTCTCAGAGAACATTTATCTTATGGATAGGCACGGATGGTGTATGGATTGGTGGGGTAATGGAGTATTAAGTATCTCTTTAAACATGCTCTCCCTTCCAGGGCATATGGAGTAAACTGTACTGGTGAGTTTTACCAATGATGCCATCTTGGAGCTCAGTGAAAGCAGTTCCAAGCACCTGATTTGTCTCATCCTTGTTCATTAAAATCAGGGCTCTTTAACAAGAGATTGGTGTTCTTGTTCTCTCATGAGAAATTTCTGATGGAACTGGACCAAATGTCTTTTAAGTTTTTTTACTCTTGTGCTTCTGGGCAACACCACACGAGACAGCTGCCTCTCCTGGCTGTGACTTGTGAGGGACGTCTGCTCTTGTTTTCAAAGGTTTGTATGCTTTCAGGAGTTGTAGACGCACACATTTAATTTGTGGAGTTCATATTCAGCCTTCTGCAAAAGAATAGGTAAGCTGAATAGACTTAAGTTACTTTGCTAGACAATTTATGTTGTCAGCATTTCAACTTCAATTAGAGGGTATTCAGAGTGAAATTACTAGCTTCATCAGTATTGTAGTTGCATTTTGACAGAAGTCTTTTATTCAGGAATACCCAACTTCAAGGGTACTTATAATGCCTTCAGCACGCGGAACTTTACATAGCTAGAAAATTGAAATCAGTTACTCTGTGAATAAGAACTCAGGTGGTGAAAAATCCAGAAGACATAGAGTTCCTCTGGGAACAGGGTTGCAAACCTCTGGTCTAGAAAATGGTGATATCTTCCAATTGGATTTTGAGACTTGCATGACTACATGTAGTAGGGGAGACATGTTTGAATGAATAGGCACAAACTGGTGTTCTGGACCTCTTTCCTTCCTTTCACAAGATGGACTTTTTAAGTGATTGACTTTTTCTGTTAACAGGATTTTCAAAATTGATTTTGTATGTGTTGTATGTATTTTAGGAAAGAGTTTTGTTTTTCTCTTCAACTAATAAATTACAGAATTTTCCAGAATGTCTTCCTCATCCTTTGATTGGGATTTTCAGCATAGCTGAAGAGTGTCAAAAGTATTGATTTGTCCAAGTGTACACTCTTACCAATCCCAGAATTTACATGGTGTGCTGCGCCTGTCTTTTCCAGCACAGTACTTCTCAAACTCAGAGGTGTTGTCTGGGGAGAAAAGATCTTCAGGCACCTTCAAAGTTACATTGTAAAATACAGTTTCATAGAAGAGCCCTCTGTGGCAGCGGTTTGCATTTCTGCTTTGCAGCACTGGTTCCTTGGGTTTAGTTGTGGACTTTGGCTGCTATTTTTATAGGGTTTGAATGCTCTCCCTGTGTTAGTGTGGGTTTCCTCTGGATGCTCTAATTTCCTCCCACAGTCCAAATATATATACTGGTAGATTAATTGGCTTGTGGGAAAATTGGCCCTGGTGTGAGTGTAACTCTGCCCTGTGATGGACAGGATGCATCTCGCCTCATGCCTGTTGCTGACCTAGATAGGCTCAGGGCTCTCTGTGATGAAAACAGGAACACAAAGGTGCAGTTTATACACCTTTTGTAGGTGCTGTTATGGTCTTCATCCATACATCCACAAGCAGTTTTTATACTTTAAACCACCTCTCTCAGTTATTACATATTTAGAATTAAAATTGATTCAACATACTAATTTCCATACATAGCACAATAGTTCTTTTGGCAATCACAACCTTCCAGTTGCTCTGAAATGTCATATATTCTCTCTGTTAACATTCCATACAACAGGTGCCTGGCTCAGCATGTACAGAGTTAAACCAAATTTAGAAAGAAGCAACTTTACAGCACATTGTGTTGAGTCTCCATGCTAGAACATTTTGTTCCGGAAGGAAGAACACCACCTACTGGGCCGCCGATAGCATTTTTTGCAGCAATTTGGTTTTCCTTAGAGGTCTCCCGTCCCAGTGCGGACCAAGCCCAGCCTTGCTCATCTCTGAAATCCGGCGGCAAGAAGCTAATTGTCACTCTATAACGTCTTAAAGTCAGACATTTTATTAGCAGGCGCTGTTAATACAAAACATGCACTTTACTGTATTTATCATATAATGCTCATGCTGTGCAGCAAAGGCTATTCATTTTTACATTCCTGAAAAATATTTTTCTGTTGTTTCATATTAAGTGTTCTATAATATCTGTAATAGTCTGGAATTTACGGTCACATGTTTCATGGTTTTACAAGAACAGTTGAATAAACGATTAAATACATGTATTTAAATTAAAGCCAGTTAAACGATATCGCACCATTCACCTAAGTCTTCAGATATAATGTTTTTATTTTTAGGATAAAACCCCTTCAGATTCAGTCTTCCACGTGAAGGGGGCACTATTAAGTTACACTGCCTTTTTCTAACAATAACATTTGGTGTGTGGGCCCTCACAATAAGGGATACAATTTAAGACCAGATGTATTCACACATGCCACTTGATGGCGCAACTGAGCAGGACTTATTCTCTTTGTCTTTTATCCGCCCTCTTGGCCTTCGTGTTTGAGGAGAGAAGTGTTTCGCAGGGCGTGGCGGGATAGGAAGTCTCTCAGTGGAGGACCGAGGGCAGTCCTCCAGCTACTGGGAGAGAAGATGGCTGCAGCGGGGGTTTTCAGGCCAGTGTCTGGAGACAGTGCTCTGCGCTTTATGGTTCGGGACGAGTAGCCTCTGTTATTTTTTGAGGTTGCTTCGAGGATCTAAACGGACTAAAACATGGGGTCTCAGACACTACAGATTTTGAGACAAGGGGTATGGGCTTCTATTACAGGAGGCTGGTATTACGATCCCCATCAAAATACATTTGTCAATGCCTTGCACCTCTACATTTGGCTCTTCCTGCTTTGTTTCCCCTTTACGCTTTACATGGTGAGTTTTGATGTGCATGGGTTTTAAATTCTCTTCTTGCCTAGCGGGTCGGGTGGTGTGGAGGCGAGTCAGGCAGCTCTCCTGTCAGATTGAGTCCTTTGTTTGCTTACCGTTAATTACACAATATTGGCAGGACGGTCCTGTTCTTTACAAGGCAGAGTTTGTGTTTAGTTTGATGCAGATACAATCGTACTGCTGTGAATCAGGTGTTATCCTATTTCGGGGACGATACTACTTAGCCTGTCTCTGTCAAACTCTGAACTAATTTCCGGGCTTGCAAGAACACCGTTGTTATTAATCTCTTCACAAGAAATTACACCATACTGGAAGGTAGTAATGCAATATTATATGCTAAAGGTTTGGAGACCTGCAGCATTATTTTCTTTAATTCAAGTCGAAAGGAGGTAATTACCTTTTCTATTAAGAGCACTTATTAGCTGTACATCAATTAACCAACCTTAATTAATACTAAGATTTTTTTCTTTAAGACGACGAGCTGTGGGTATTGGTTGTTGCCGTGGTCACAGACGAGTGTCTCCATCATATCCGTAACTCACTAGCACCGAAATAAAATCAAAACGGGCATTTCCTGAAATAACAACAGTAACAACGACATCATGTTGTGAGATTGTAAGTTGAGCCGAGCTGTAATTTCATTGCACAGCTCAAATGTCAATTAAACGCCTTATTATTTCCATGCGCTGTGGAGTGCCATTTAGTGCCATTGGTTTCATTTAACCTAATTATGTTCAATTACGCGATTGCTTTTATTCGATGTATATGCAGCGATCGGTATATTCTGCTGCTCAATACCAGTACTATATGGACTTGTCATTCTCGCGTTGGCAGACGAGACCGTGGGCCAAAGCAATGTTCTCTGGCGAAGTCGGAAATTTTATTTCCAGTGTCTTTGTTGAGCTATGTACTGTCAAGGAGTCTCATATCTAACGGATGATTTTTATACTCGTACGGAACGGGCAAAATATTGCAAATGCCATTAATTTTTAGAATGTCCAGTCATTTGCGTTTTATTCCTTCCAGAAGATGTTGGGTAAATGTACATAGAAAAGAAGACTAATAAAGCCAAACGCAAGCTGATGTGCATTGGTCTCTGAGGACCACCTGCTGAAAATGAACCAGATTTACAGCACACTGTTAGTCGTTAGTATAATTCCAGGCAATAGACTTTACTGAGAGAAAGAATGTGGGGGGGTCTATTTTCATATCTGTATAGTTTTCTCGCTATTTTTTCAATCTGATCATTTCAGTGTAGGCATGGATCCCTATGACACCCACTTTGAATTAAAGCGTTTCGCAGGAGGGCACAGCAGGCAGTCGGGATTGGTCTGCCACCACAACATGAAGCTAAAATGAAGCTGGTTAACACTCTGTGGCTGCACACAAGAGAATGGGGCGGGCTTGCTTGCTTCTGTAGTTGAGTTAGCTGGACTACAGCCTGTTCCTGACACACTTTTCAAGGATGGAGTGTTTACTGAGATGGTCTCGCAGGGATAAGAGGTGGGCATTAGGTGGCCCGCAAATAATGCCTGCTTTTGATTGCCATATTTCTTCTCTGTGGCCCTTAACTGATTGCGAACATTCCTACACCTCCATTAACAGACATTGTCTGAAAACAATGAGGACCTGGACTGCCAGAAAAAACTGCAGCATTCCTAAAGGCAGGAGGATGGAGTAACATGCAACTGTACTTGCAGTTGCAGTCTGAGCCTGCCGGTGCATGGACTGCACAGTGGGTTGTCTCATGGCTCCTCCTTGTCTGCCACACACCGCAGAGGTGGCACCTGGTGGTTCTCCTGGACTCTTTTCTTGCTAGCCACATCTGCAGTTCTTGTTTTTCACAGCACAAAGCACCCATTCTTTTGCCGTGACCAGGAGGTGCCTATTTAAAAGGCCATTGCTGTCTGTGAATGTTTTATTTATGGCGTGCTGTTTACAGATGTCCACAAGCCTGCAGCGATGCAGATTGTCCTGTGACTGGAGGTACTTAGATGACGGGTTGCCTTTCTGCTTGTCAGTGGAGGTGATCTGTCACATGTCATCTGGTAGGAACCTTTAATTGCTTTAATTGAATCCCAGTGTCCGGCAGAGAGGCATCAGATCCTCTCCTGACTGGCTTAGTTAGTGAGTAGGGTTCCCCATCTCTTTTCACAAATGGACATTTATGAGTAGCCAGTAACCTATCCACATGGTTTTGAGAAGTGGAAGGAGAGGTGTTTTGGGAGAAAAAAAACACTTGGATGCACTTAGAATGTGGAAACTCCACATGCAAGGACCAGTAGCAAGCCTTATGAGTCAGCATAGCAAACCGACATGCCAGATTCACATGTGGGCTTCTAATATATAGAAATGATTGCTGATCCCAAGAAGAAATGCTGAAGTTTTCTAGTGTGTGGAATCGTATTGCCTTCTCCTGTGTTAGATTTCCACATGGAGGGCCATCTGTATGGAGTCTGCATGCTCCAATTTCTGCCCACCTCAGACATGCATACATATTGGTTAGGACTAGTGGTGTCTCTAGATCATCCCTGTGTGAGTGTGCCTTTCCTGTATTCGATTGTCATCTTGGCAAGGGTGTATAGTGCCTCTGCTTCCAGAAAAGACAGTGTTCCTTAGACTCTTACAATCCTGTCCGCAGTGCTGCTCAGACAAGAGCAACAAAAGAATGAATGAGAATCTGGGGATTAGATTATGTAGCTAAGCGGTATAAAAGTTTTCATTTTTTGTCGAAGAATGGTGTTGCAGTGGTTAGTATTGCTGCCTTGCTGTGTTCGGACCTTGGGTTTAATTCTTGACCTGGGGTGCTGTCTGGATGGAGTTAGTATGTTCTTCTCTTGTTCACATGGGGATTTCCTCCGGGTGCTCTTGTTTCCTCCCACACGCGAAGCACATACTCGTTGGTTAGTAAAGCTTCTGGGAAAAGCGGCCCTGGTGTGAATGTTTGTGTTTGTGTCTATGTGTCCCCCTCCTGTTGCTTGTCGGGGTAAGCTCCTAGTAGGCTCACAAGCAGAATACTATAGAGGGCTCTCCTTTTTGTGTTAATGGTGGCAAAAATTTTACATTTCATTCCGAGATTCCTAGAGAATTTTAACAGCAGGGGGACTGCTGTTAAATAACTGCATTATTAAAAATGAACTTGTTATCCTAGTAGAAAGTTTTGATGCCTGGTTTGGGGCAGTTTTAAAATGATAGGCCTAGCATGGTGTGAAGTGTTAAGGAGCCTTATTCCTATCCAGTACAGGTACAGTATAGATCCCTCAGGTACAGAGAACAGGTTGAAGCATTCTCTTGCTGGCTTTTGAAAGGCACAGTAGGAGTGCTTGTGTTGAACCTGCTCTGAAAATGAAATGAAATTGAACACAGAATTCCTGCTGTTAAGTGTGTGGGACTCGTTGAGGATGTCTCTGTTTAGCATATGAGCTGAGCTGAAACATTAATCATTCTTTAAATGCCACTGTGCGAGCTCTTCAGCACACCTCTCTCTCAGAAAGAGAGAAAAAGTGTTTAGAGTTTCCCTTTGTTTCTGACAATTCGAAGTCACAAAACAGAGCGGAGGTCAGTTTGGTCCTGAACATCATTAGTTCTCGTTGTGGTTTGCGTTCCCATTTGACACTGCTTTAATATCTGTTGCCATGGAAAGTGAAGGCCTTGACATTTCTGCTATCGTTTAAAATAAGGAACTGTATTACTGTAGCTTTCCAAAAAAACATCAGAGCGTTCCATGCCGTTGTACGGTCAGTGTGATTAACAACAGAGCTTCCATTGTGTTTTATGTAAATTTCCTGAAGATTGAATTTTGATTAAGAACAAAGAAAAAAATGAAGCCCTTAAGACCTGTTTCATTTTCCGTGTGGGTTTTTGCTTTTTCAGAAGCTATATTATTTATTAAGGTAGTTCACTTGTGTTGGGTATTGCAGGGAAATCACCAATTAACGTTAGATGGGTTTGAAATCTTGTTTTGATTTGGTCCTTCATCCCAGAATTGGGTCTTACAAAACACTAGGAAACCACTGATATAGGGCCTTAGTAAAACTCACCATTTCATTGGGCCCAGGTCTCTAGCTGATGGACACTAAGGCAAGACCTTTTCAATATGATTATTTGTTATCGTTTGATCTATTTTAACACTCTTGCACTTTTGTCTTTAACTCCCTGCCTTGCACTTTAGGCTATGACACTGTTCTCATATTTAATCAGAAGTCTGTGAATGGGATCAAGCCAGTCAAATTAAATGCAGTGCTTTTTGTCAAGACAGTGAAAGATAATGGTGAATTATGGAATAAATGGCTTCATCTATCCCCTGTGCAAAACTATAGCATAGATTCCGCCACTTTATGAATACTGGAGCCTTTGAAACCAAGCTGAGACAATGTCTGACCTTAAGTCCCAAAACAAGAACTTCCGTCAATGCCAAACTGCTTAGACTCATCTTTAATATCGCCATGCAAATGATAAAGCATAGTGGCAACTGTGAAAACATCATCAAACATATCTCATGGGCATAATAATAACAAAGCCTGACAAAAACAAGGTGCCCTTCTCCTTGTAACTAAATGATGACTGATCCACTTTTTTTGAGTGAAAAAGTGTCATTCTGGTGTACAGTTTAAGTGCTGTAGAGGTATCATTGTGGCACTATAGCAGAACATCTCTGTTGTAAGCTCTGTTGTAATGTTTGTCAATATAACGGTACAGCACCAAATGTACCTTGCAGAATCTTTCATTCTTGGGAATGATAAGATGTCATGCGATATCAGCACAAAGATTGGGAAAGTTACTGCATCTCAGAACAGGCAGAAAAACAAAAGGAAGCTGCCCTTTGCACTGAAACCTTTGCACTTACTGCGACGATGCAGCAATGCGTATAATTTAAAGCGTTCCAGGATCACTTTTGTTGTAAACAGTTGGGGGGGGGGGGGGACGAAACGTTTATTGCTGTGTCATGCTGCTTTATAAAAAAGTGTGATCATCAGGCAGTTGGCTGTGTGGTCATCTGGTGCATAACAGCTTTGTTTTTGCTGTGTCTCCTGAGTTGGAGAACCATTTAAGGGACTAAGATTAAAAACATTGTTTTTTTTAAAAGCAAGTCTTGAAACCACATGCTACAATTAAAATGTGTGCATACTGTGAAGATAAAATTTGAACCAACCAGAAGTTTCAAGCCAGTGCTACAATATGATCAGTGGGGATACTGTGCTGTAAGAGGCAGTGTCCTTTGGCTGTTAAAGAGTGTTACCCTTGTATTCTGGCTAAAATTCACTCTGTGATCGTGTAATCTACCCACTTTAAAGTTCCCCGTAAATTTTGTAGATGAAATATGTCCTTTCACCTACAAAACTTTCAGTGGTTAGCATTGTTGCCTTGCAGCGCTGGGGTGTGTTTGTGTCCGTCTGCCCTGTGACGGACTGGTGTCCCAACCAGGGCGTGTTGTGCCTTTCTTTGGTTAGGCTCTGGCTCTCCTGTGACCCTGGATTGGAAGAAGCAGTTAGGAAATGGCTGGATGAAAGTACTTCCTCCCTTAATCTGTTGCCTACAGTAGCTGGTGCCTAATGGGAGCTACACTTAAGTGGTGAAGTGTGTGCTCCTTTGTTTCTAAAATGCTGTGGGATCCTTTGGCAATGAAAAGCACTGTATAAGTATAGGGACTGAAGAAATTAATAAGACAATCATAAGTAGATTCTGTGCTCTAATTAAAGAAAATAATTCCATCATCATTGTTGTAGTCTGTCTGCAGTATTTCATTCTGAGCTATACACTGGAGTTGATTCCCTTACAGCCATTGTTTTCTTCTGGAAGGATTTAAGGAATGCTTCACACTTAATTAATTATAATTTAATAATTAAAATTGCTTACACTTATATAGCGCTTTTCTGGATACTCCACTCAAAGCGCTTTACAGGTAATGGGGTCTCCCACTCCCAATGTGCAGCACCCACCTGGATGATGCGACGACAGCCATAGTGTGCCAGAACACTCACCACACATCAGCCATCAGTGGGGAGGAGAGCAGAGTAATGAAGCCAATTCATAAATGGGGATTATTGGGAGGCCAGGATTGGTAAGGGCCAATGGGAAATTTGGCCAGGACACTGGGACAACACCCCTACTCTTTTCGAGAAACGCCCTGGGATTTTTAATGACCACAGAGAGTCAGGACCTCGGTTTTACGTCTCATCCGAAGGACAGCGCCTGTTTACAGTATAATGTCCCCATCACTATAGTGGGGCATTAGGACCCACGTGGACCACAGGGTGAGCACCCCCTGCTGGCCCCACTAACACCTCTTCCAGCAGCAACCTTAGTTTTTCCCAGGAGGTCTCCTATCCAGGTACTGACCAGGCTCACACCTGCTGAGCGTCAGTGGGTTGCCAGTTGTGAGTTGCAGAGTGATATGGCTGCTGGCTCACTTAAGATGCTCCCGGTTTATCAAAGGTGACAGGGAAAAAAAAATCAAGTTTACAGATTTATCAGATAAAGAGAAAAGGTGAAAGGTGCAGTTCGGAGTTTTCCTTTCTCATCCACTTTGGAGAAATAAACCCATCCTGCTGGTTTTATTGCGTCAATGTACCTCAGTAAAGGTCCTCTTGCAGTGCCATAGCTACATCATCTTGAGACTTTCCTCCTACATTCTTTTCATTTGATGGAAGTTCTTGTTAATAGTTGGATTTTTGTTTCCTGTTCTATGCATTCAGGGTAAATGTCGTATATTTCGATTTTGCCAATTAAGTTATATTGTTTGGTGATATGAAAAATCAGGAAACAGAAAATGCTGAGCAGCAAGAGCTGAGATATAGCTTCTGTTCTGGCAGAGAGAGCCCCTTACAGTGGTGAAATTGATAAAATACTCCAGATGTGCAGTTCAATCTGCCCTAATAAGATTATAAGCAAACATAGCAACTGATGAAAAAGTCCCACTACATGCTGGGTAGATCGGCATTAAAAATGTCTCAGCATAAGGGATTTTAAAACCGTCTGCGTTACTCTAAAAGCTGCAGTTAGCAGGCGGAATTAGGTTATTAGATACACAGTCAGAAGATGGTTATAAAAAGGCGGATTTAAGGAATGGAAAATAAGAAATAAGCCTTTTTTAAGTGGGAAGTAGAAGGCTGGGTAGAATTGCCTGGGCTGAACAAAAGCTATTGTAGACTGAGATTACTATATTCAGCGCAATGTGTAGATGAGGTATAAGAGCATCTTGTAAATGTTTTAAAATCACATCATCGGATGTTATATCACATTATAATAGCAAGTCTGATGTTAGAAAGCATACCTCCTGGTTTAGCTGTGTTTGCGGTGATTCCCTGTGAAATTCAGATGTTTTCTATTATCGGTTAAGTGGGTCAAGTCTTTCATATCTCAGTGATCTCTTTCACTGTGCATTCTATCTTGGCCCTTACGTTCAGAGGGTACTTTTTAAAGTACAAACTCTACACCTCAGGCAGCAAGACCTTTTGTTTCTGTGCTCTGAGACTGCAGAGTGAATTATGTGGGTAATGCAAGATTCCACATCAATGGCAGTTTTGACATCTCTTCAGAGCTTTGTCTTGACAGATGCTTTGTAAAGAAAAGTAATTGTTGAGTACAGTATACATAATAGAAATTCATACATATGACACAAATTCATGCCAAAGGCATTCAAAGGCACCATACAGAATTACAAACAGAAAAATATCTCTTGGCCAAGGTATAGTACATTCCAGGTTATAAATCAGTTGCACAAAAGCACATTCAGACAGAATTGTGAGGTTTAGCTTTTTTGCTGTTGGCAGCAGTTCCTCAAACTCAAACAAGGAGCAATGCAGCTGAGGACTGTACGGGTGGCGGCTGTATAATGATGTTTTTTATAAAACAACAAGGAGAGAAGGAAATAAGGAATGATTATAACCAAGGGGAGACCATCTTTTACTTGCTTGTAGTTATCTTTCAACAGCATGACTTGGCAGTGTGTGACATGCACAGCGGTGGGTGTGTGGAAAGATATTATTTATCTTTCAGAATGTCAAATAATTCTAGGAGATATCTTTGTAATCGTGTGTCAGTGTCTGACATGCCTTTAAGACCAGTCATTAGTGCTTGTCTTTGATCTAACCATTAAAGCTGTCATTTTCTGATTTGAGCAAATGATTTGGAATAATATTTCCCATCTGAAGGTAAAAAGGCCTCATTCCAGAAAGGCACCTTACATGCTTTTGTAGCTGGTTTGAAATTGGTTCTAAAAAGCTTTCTACACTTGTTCACTGAACCTTGAGTGGGATGGTCAGGTGAAATTTGAATATGTTTTGCTCCCTCTTTCACTGATCTTTCCCTCCCGCAGGCTCTGCCCTCCACCATGGTGATAGTGGGCATCTATTGCGGTGTCATCGCCGCCATGTTCCTGCTACTAAAGACGGTGAATTACCGGCTGCACCGGGCGCTGGACGAGGGCGAGGTGATAGAGCACCACCGCGCTGGCGAGCTCGGCGGCCGAAGCGCGAATCCAGACAGCGCCAACGATGCCAACGCCACCCGCCGAGAGGATAGCAATGGGCCAGGGTAAGAGGGTACAGGATAGTCGGGGTGAGGAGGGGAAATCTCTTTGAAAGGTCTCCAATCACATCTGCTGCCCAAAGATCCGCCATATATGTGTACTCACAACTGTAGCTGTAGGCCAAGCCTCATTTGAAAGTGGAGAGACATGCTGCTGAATTTTAGGGTTTCCTGTAGAGTCTTAGAAGTCCGTGGATCAGCAGGTAAGGAAACGCAGACCTGGGTTACAAGAACACGGTATCAAAGCCGTGACTGGATAAACAACAACAGAGAGTTCTTCAGCTACACTCAACTTTTTTGAGTGAGCAAAGAAGCAGCTTTCTGTAAACAGCATCTGGCGAATTCATGTTTTGTTCCCTTGCCCACTCTGTCATCATCGTCCTTAATGCATTGTGTAGCTCATCTGTCAGCTTTGTGGATCCATGTTTTGCATAGTGCCTGGTATGAACAGGTTTCTCACTTCCAGAGCTCGGTAGATCATGGAGCTTTGTGGTTTAGTAGTTTAGGATTGGCAGTCCTGAGTGCTTTCATCAATAAATAGTTCTGCACTTTGAGTCTTTTCAGACTGCTCTTGCTGCATTCAGATCACTGCATTCAGTATTTATAACAACCAAGGGCTTGAGTTAGAATTGTCCTTATTCTTCCTGTTTGGGACCTGTCTTTTCAGCTGTTGTAATTACTTTCAGACCATAAACCTGGCCATGTGCATTGAAAGCTGTTTTTAGGAGAATTCTCTCTTCATTTGTCGGTGCTAAAGAATGCTGTTAAAGAAACGGTGAGACCCAACTTAATGATGCAATAGCTGTCGTGACGCATTTCACATTCCTGAAGGGATACTTGGGCAGGCGACTTGAGCTTAGTACAAAAACAAATGTCTGTGACTAATTACAGAAGACAACCCAAGGGAGAAGAGCCAGTGAAATGAAACTCCTTTCTGCATAGCGGTGGATCTATTTCTGGTTTCATGAACGTCAGGCTTTTGTGCTGGTGCTGAAGAAAAGTATTGTGCTAATACTATTTTAGCTTTACATGTCTGTGCACTTTTCTCAGAATAAGCAAAATATGTCCAGAACACTAGACTGGGCCAACACAAGGTATGAGTCTAATATAGCAACTTATAATGAAAACCTGCAATGGATCATGCAATGAATAGCAATTAATGTCTTGTTATATATGGAAATTGATCATTTGTGAGCACTTATTAGAGGGATTTGTTGGCCTCAAGACCAAATATATGTTTTTACTAAAAGATATATCTAATGGTGTCATCCTTGCCTAATGGTGTCATCTGGAAGGGGTTTTAACTTTGTGCGACTTTGGTCCGTCATACCCCAGGATGGCTCATGAGAGGTGTGACTGAGAAGATTCTGAGCTTGGACCTTTACAGAACCATTGCAAAAAGAAATGCAAGCACGTTTTGCTGGTACACCGGACTGCTAGACAGTCTGTGTTGGGCAAGCTGGCAAGTTGCAAAATTTGGAATTGCTCCTTTATGCTTTGCTTTTCTGAGAACTTCATCAATTTAAAAAGCAAAGGCAAGGGCTGCGTGTTGTCATCAAGTGTGGAAATTAGAAAACATTTTTAATTGCACAGTGACAGATTTTCTTGGGCCAAGTGATCTTTTGCATTAAGAATTAATGACTCCGTTATGCTTGATTTTTAGCTTCTGTTGTGTCATGGTCTGCCAGTAGAAAATCAAGTACACTTAAAGAGCAAAGCTATCTAGGTGTTATGACTTGGCTGTACTCATTATATGGATTATATTTACTGTATCCATATATATGGATTACATTGACTAGCTATGGTTCCTAGTGGTGTTGCCTTCTATATTAGATGCACCTTTTTCTTTTTGTGTCACTTCTCTTGGAAATTGGGTAGAGAGCATTGTGTCACAGCATTGTGCTAAAGTCTCTTTCGCCCTTGGTAAATCTTTAACAGATCATTTTTTCTCTTTATTGTGCTGTTGACAGGGATCCTGGAGGGGGGATAGAGATGGCAGACTTTATTCGGGAAGTTACTCCTCCAGTGGACTGCAGCTCCAGAAACTCCTATGCTGGGATGGACTCCAGTAATCAAGTAAGACCTTGTGAAACCAACACCAAGAAGACATATCCTTATTTCAGTCCATTCTGAAACTGCAATTCTGAGGTCCCTGAAGTTTAAAAGTAGCTCCTGATGGTAAAGCTACCCGCTAAAATTGTAACTTTACAATCATTCAGAACTCTGACTTTTGTGATCGTGGCTTGTTTTGCATTGATGAGAGAGCCTATGTCTCTAAAATACTACACTATTGTAGGGAATTGCCTGTCATTTTTCCTTTCCTAATCCTCCCTGCAAATATTGGTAATAGACTGCTTGGCCATCTGCTACAAGCTTCCTCCAAAAATGTATGAGAAATCAGTTGTTTGTTTTGTTACATTGGCCCAATGTGCAAGAAGCAGCATTAGGCTCTGGATGTAACAGTAACACAGCTCTCACTGTTAACACAGCGAGCTCACCAGTGTCCAGACAGTGATGGGGAATGCTGTTGAATGGCAGGCCAAGGAAAACCTGGAAATGCTCAGTCGTTTAGGTGCTATTGCCCAAGCCATTCCAGTCAATAAGTGACTGATCTGTCTCAGATTTGAATCTGAGAAATCTGGGTTGTGGAGCTCAGTTATATTTTCAATTCTTCACCAATACATCCTCAAAGATATATCTATTTGTGTCTTTTTTAGCCTTGTCTGAAACTTTTGAAAGCCTTATAGAGGGCAATGCAACATTTTGGAAGCTTAATGAAAGCAGTAAATAAATAAACAGCACTGCAGCACTTTCTGCTGAAATGATATAATATGTTGTCTCAGACAGATATGCCAAGCCGTCAGACTGAAGCTGAATAAATGTGATGAAATATTAAAGCTCGTTTTGAGTGGGTAGCATGACAAGTCAGATTCTGCAGGCCTGGCTGCTTGGCAGCCGGCATCTTTACCTTAAGCCAGTTTCCTACATTACCCCCTGCTATTACTTCGGTTTTGAAGATGTACAGAGCCTTGAAAAAGTATTGAGCCCCCAACACATTTTTCACATTATGTTCCTGCAGATTGTGAATTTGAAATAGATTGAAGTAGGATTTTTTGGCACTGATCCTCAAAATATTGAGTACCATATCAAAACAAAATAAGTGATCCCAAACCTCTCCACAGTTGACTTAAAATGAAAAGCAGCAATGATTACATTAAAAAAGTATTCATACCCATCTTAATTGCAAGCTCAAATTTGCACAGGTCAGGTGCAATACATTACCTCAAACGTCACACAATTTGTTGACTCCACCTGTGTAAGAAATTAGTGGATCACCTGTTGTCAATTCTTTTGTAAATATAAATATCCCTCTCCTTGAGATCCTACAGCAAAAAAAAGAATATGAAGATGAAAGAGCGTTCCAAAAAAGTCAGAGATAAGATTATAGAGAGGCACGAATCTGAGGAAGGTTACAAGACATTGAATATCCCTTGGAACTCATTGTACAGAAGTAGAAGAAGTATGAAACTACAGCCACACTGCCTAGATCAGGCCAACCCCCTAAACGTAGTTTCTGGACAAGAAGGGTGCTTATCACAGATGCTACTGCGAGGCCAATTGTGACATTGAACTAGCTACAGAAGTCAGTCAATGAGATGGAAGATAAAGTACATGTTAACTAACTCCAAGGCATTCCAGAGAAAGGGCTTTTATGGGAGGGTTGCAAAGATGAAGCCCTGGCTGAAAAAACCCATATCCTTGTCTGCAAAGAGTTTGAAAAACGCCATCTAGAAGATACTGCAGAGATCTGGCAGAACGTCTTGTGTTCTGACGAGACAAAAGTGGAACTTGTTGGCCTGAATACAGTGTGTATGGTGTAAATCAAACACTGCACACTGGCCAGGTAACACCATCCCCAATGTGAAGCATGGTGGTTGTAAAACTCTGCCAAAAAGTTCAAACCGGGGAGGAAGTTTGTCTTTCAAGAGGACAATGATCCAAAGGACACTGCAAGGTCAACACTGGAGTGGCTTAAAATAAAGAAAATGAGAAAATAGATGTTCTTGAGTGGCCCAGTCAGAGTCCTGACCTTAATCCCATTGAAGATCTCTGTCACAACCTCAGACTTGCTGTCCATCTCTGCTCACCAACTACCCTGACCCAGAATGAGCAATTTTGCATGGAGGAATGGGCAAATATTGTACAATATAATATTATAGTGGCAAATATAATATTGACTTCATATTATTCAAGTAAGTAATAGATGGAACAGGCTGCTGTTAAGCTTGTTGTTGATCAAAAGTCAGGAGTTCCTCTGCTTCAGTGACCTTCTGCTGTCCTGTACAATGGACAGTGGATGCAGATATTATAAAAGCAGCCTGTCTGCCCAAGTCTTGTGATTGGCTTTATGATTGCTTTTGCTGTTGCTGTCATCATTTTTATTCTGAATAGTGAGATGAAATGTATTGTAGATGTAGTGCATTTTCTAGTGACAGCTGTTTGGGATGTTTTTTTCTTCTGAAGAGAAATGTTCATAACTAGTCCAGTTATACCAACCCAATTTTGGAAATGCCAGTTGTGTGTTTTCCGTGTTTTCAAGTTTCAGCTCAAAGCTACAAACATTGCTGTCAAACATGGAGATTGAGGAAAGTTAGACAGATTCCTCCTCTCTGCCTGTCTTCAATCCACTGACCTCTTGACATTTCACAGGCAAATCAGCAGCACATGAACATATGAGAGGTTGCTAGTGAGAGGAGTCCATCTGACCCATCTAGCTGGTTTGGGTGCTAGCAGTCAGTTGGTTTGAGGATCTAATCCTGCTGTCATTGAAAGAAGCCGGGATATCGGCTTTGAAAATATGGCTAGGTAGATTGTTTCATGCTCCCACAATCCTTTGGGTAAAAGAAAAAAGCCTCATGATCCCAGTTTTAAATGAATTACCCATGGCTTCCATGTGTTCTCTTATTTGTATTTCACTTTTGAGGGTTTTGAAACACGAATCAGGTACCCTTCCCTACACTGGAATAAGAATCAGTGAATGTTTTCAGCTGTGATGCATCCTGCCAATTAGATTCCTTTCTGCTGTAAAAGATAAAGACAAGAGGCATCATTCAACCAAAGCACCAGGCACAAGCTTGAAATGACATTGGTCTAAAGTAATGTACAAGAAAGAAGAAACTTGCCTCCATAATTTATTCCAATCAAGACACCTTCAAAATGTGTCAAAACGTGGCTGTAGTGCCCCAGAGATTGCATACCAGAGATTGGAAAAAACTTATGCATGATAGTGTCTACTAGGGTACACACTCAAAAATATTTAAGTGAATCATTCCATTATGAGAATTTTTGGAAGCTGACTGAATTCTGTTGCTCAAAAATATAAAGAGGAAAGACAATTATTTTGTTTTGTCCCTGAAATCCAGCAGAATAGTTTGTACTATAAACTATGTTGTGACCTAATTGCTTTTTTGAGCCTCTCTTGCTTCCTCCAAATTCCTCATGTTCCAAGAGTAACCCCGTTAAGCAAGGCGAACTCTAGTTCTATTTCGGTCTGAGACTTTGACCTCGTTTAAGGACTTTTCTAGCAGTTACACAGAAGCCTAGTTTACTTAGTCACCCTTTCCATGAAATTATTTTTTGTCCTTTTTTTGTTCTTTTTGATACTAAAAACCATGCATTCTGTATTCAGTTTAAATAACTACATGTTTTTCTTTTATTGTGTAAATCTGCACTGTCTGACCTGACCTTCACTGACTGAGCTGTCTTTGTTGTTGTCCTAATGTTGTTTTTCTTCTTTTATGTTAGATTGCTTCCACACACGGAGGTACGACCACAGCGAGAGGTAAGAGTCAAAAGCATGTGACCAGCATTTTTATACTTACTGCTAGCAAACCCGTCTGTTCCAGATCATAAAGTGTATGAACACAAATCTAAATTCTGCTTGTGCTGTTGTTTACACTGTTACGGCACCAAATGAGCAAGGAATGTTCAATGATAAACCTGTAATAAATGTAAAAGGTATAGTTTGGAAAAGTTGAATACAACTTTAAATGTTGAACGAAAAGCAGAAATGCATCAAGTTAACCTTATTCAGAGTCCAGTGTTGGTTTTGCAAATACAGTGGAACTTTCCATTCTTGCTACAAAACCCTGCATCTCTAGTGTTAATAATAGCCTTTGGTATGAGTGTCTGTGTCAGGCTCTGCATAGGTATTCAGGTTTTGTAGACTTTATTCTACACTAGGTTTCCAGGCTACACTGTTTTATCCACGGAAGTAAAACTTTCCTAGGCTTTGTGTTTGACTACTGTATATGGGGAAAAAACCCCAACAAATCTAGAAACTTCCCCTGACCTTGCTCCTTTCAGGTGAAGAGAGCTTTAATGTAGCATCCAGCACAGACACATACACACCTGTTAATTATTTAGCACATCTCATCGTTTCAGCATACTGTTTGCTCCTTAGCTGGCTGGAGTATAGCACTGTAATTAACTAAGTATCACTGAAGGGAGCAGGTGACTAATGAACTTTTGTATCTTGACAGTAAGCAGAAGGTCTGTTTGCATATATAAGACTACGATTGGAGATATCTTTGTGAAGTATCTAAAAAGTCAGAGTGCACTATGGATTTCCTTTTACTGCTCAAAACCACACACAAAAAATCCAAAAAAGAAACTGGAGTTCTTTGTTACCAACACCAGGACTAAAACATATTCGGTTTTCTTTAGCAAATAAAGCTGTAATATGCAAGATGGGTATCATTTCTTTCTAGCAAGAGAAGTCTATTAATACATTCTCATTTACATTAACAACCGAGTCAAGTGGCTTACACCACTACAGGGAAGAAAGCATAGCAGTGCAAGAATGGACAACAGTCATTTAAGTAAAATAATATTTGATTAAATAAAAGTAGAATTGCATCCGTGTTGTGTATTTTATTCTTTTAATTTGATCTTTTTTTGTTCTACACATTTGCTAGGATTTTTTTTTTAAACTGTAAACTAATTTATCTATCATGTTGTTGTAGTTTAAGATATAAAACTATATATAGAAGATATAGATGTTGATCAGTACAGTTAAAATTTAAGTAACAGTCAATCTGTGTTTTAAAATGGTTTCCAAATTAAGATGGAATCTGAAAAATCTTTAGTGTTAGAAAGTAGGTTAATCTGGATCTGGATGACAACCCCATATGCAGCATTTTGACAGAACTACAGTTGGAATTACGTGCCTTTTTAAACTATAAATACAAGTTTGTTCAACTTAGTAGAAGTGTGTTTTCTTATATGTAAACACATTAGAACAGTGTCCAGCATGAGCCTATAAATACACTCTAACTTAAATACTTTCTCAAACAATAAAGTTTGTGAGTCATAAGGACCACACATAAAGTTTCATTCTCAACCCTGTTCCTCATTTTCCTCTGAATTAAAATCCAGGAGTGTTCTGGTTTAAGACAAAAACAGGAAAATGGAAACTGTATATTTAGTTCAAAAGGAATCACTAAAATGTACTTTGGAATTACATAGATATATAGGCATCAGGCTTTTTTTCTGGTTTAAAGTGCTTTTTGTTCTATTTTTTTATTTTAAAACGCACGCATGGAAAAGTAACAAAACGCCTCCTGGTTTTATTTAGATTTTGGGACCAGAATCTGGATGGGGTAGCTGAGAATGTTTTTGTAGAAGTGCTTTTGTGCAGTTTCCCAGAGAGAGAGTGAATAAGTTATGACTGTTGCATTAATTCCCCGTTTTCTCTTGGGCCACACGTAGGCACAGAGATGGGAAAAACCTCAGATGACATCAGCTTGAGTCTTGCTCAGAGCTGCAGCCTTTGTAAGGATGGAAGTCAAGAACAAGGTAAGGTTGTCAGGGAAGGGGGATTAGGGTGTTCATCTGTCTTTTTTGCTTTGCTGGCCTTTTAGAAGATCCTCGGCAAATTTGTTTTTGTTTCCTGTGCTTTTCACCAGACCTCACTTCGGACCCAAAGATGTACTGCATGGTCTCCAATGACTCATTCGCCTCTCTGCAGCCCTCCACCTCACTGGGACCACCGGAGCTGGCCCGGGACCCTGTAGAACAGACCATGGGCCCTCTCTCACATCACGTGGACCAGTCCCTGTCGGCTGCCCTTGACACGGAGGCGGCTTCTTTAGTGCCGCTCCACTCACAGTCCTACCGCAGGGACTCACGGCCTCGGGGTCTCCCGCGGACCTCCAGCTCAGCGGGCTCGGCCTTCCCTGACCCTTCGCTCCCAGACTTCAGCCTCTACCCCCAGGCCAGGAGGGGTGGCCTGGACCCTGTGTGTGAGCTGGAAACCTCTAAGCACCCTAGCTGTGGGGCGGGGGATACAGGCAGCCAGCTCGGTCAGATGTTGAATGACCAGGCTGCCTCATCCTCCTCCTCCTCGAGGGGACTGGAGAGTGGAGACTGCTGCCGGCACTACCAAATGGAGGCTAGGAAACTGACCTCCTCCGTTTCTCGAGAGGCAGGTGAGGGAGGTTCGGGCCTCTACCAGGGTGGGCATTGTAGGTCCCGGAGCGGACAGGGCAAATCTCTGAGAGGGGAACAGAGCGCCGACAGCCTTCGCAGCCTGAGTACACGGAGCAGTGGTTCCACAGAGAGCTACTGCAGCGGCACAGACCGTGACACTAACAGCACTGTCAGCAGCTTCCGCAGCGAGCAGACCAGCTCGACGCATGTGGAGAGCCTGCTGTCTCTTTCTGGGGATGAGAAGAGCAAAGACCGGGGAGACTCCACTTTCTCTGCTGCCACCGACAGCAGGACTCCAGGGGAAGGCGGCCTCAGCCCCAGCTGCCCGAGCCACAGCAGTAGTTCCCGGGGGCTGAGTGCCCTTGTCTCCGGAGAGGCGAACAGAAACCCCCACGCCAACGAGCTAAGCACCAAACAGCAGCCCGAGTCTGTCCCCGCACCACCTGAGCTTAGTGAGCCTTGCAGCTGTTCGGAGGAGTCCCGGGCGAGGACAAGCATGGAGAGTAGCTCCAGGTCAGCAGCCAGGGACAGGGAGAAGGAGGCTGTGCGCCCAAAGTCGGCCAACTTGATTCACCGGACTACTTCCTCCTCTTCGGGGCGTAATGGGCGGAGACGGGGAGGGAAAAAGCGGGCGAGCAGTTTTGACGCTAGCCGCCACCGGGATTACGTCTCGTTGCGCGGCATTGCCAAGCCGCGCAGTGCTGTTTTCGCAGCCGAGGAGGACTCCAGCGACCAGAGTGACCTGAGCCGCACCTCCAGCCTGCACTCGGCCCACCGCTTTAGCACGGACAGCTCCTCCAGCACCACCTCCCACTCCTGCCAGTCCCCCGAAGGCCGCTACCGCGCTCTAAAGGCTAAACACGGGGGAGCATCCACTTCCTCCAAGGGCCAATCCGGCTCAGAAGGAGGAGGTGGTGGGGGGCGGAGGCGCTCCTCGCGCCGCACCCCAAGCACCAGTAGCACCAAAACACATGCCCGTGTGCTCAGCCTGGACAGTGGCACCGCAGCATGCCTTAACGACCCCAACAGGCTGAGGCCCCCCACCAACGCCCGCCCCCTAACCACCTCCAAGTCTGACCTGGAGGCCAAGGAGGGCGAGGTCCTGGATGAGGTGTCCCTGCTGGGCCGGGCATCGCAGCTGGAGTCCGTCACCCGCTCCCGGAACAGCTTGCCCAGCCAGACAGCCTTTTCTGAGTGCCAGGATGCAGGAAGCACTACGAGAGGTAGGTGGCCATCCCATACAGCTTAGACTAAGGTCTTCACTCTAAGCTGGAGACACAAATGTGGGACATTCGTGAGCTGTGTGGCATTTGTTATAAGCTGTGGCAATTTCTGCTTGTCAGAGGCAGGTCTTAGCTCTACATGATGTATAATATCTGCTATGGTCATGACTATAGTTAAGATCCACTACTTCACTTACAGTGATTTTCAAAAGTATTCACCCCCCTTGGGTTTGTTCACATTTTATTGTGTTGCCATATAGAATCATAATGTATCATAATCATAAGTCCCAGGTCTCTTGCACACTGCAGCAGGTTTTCCTCCAGGATTTCTCTGCTGCATCCATTTTGGCTTTTTTTTCTTCAGAAGTCTTCCAGGCTGTATTGTAGCACTGCATCTCCATAGCGTGTTGCTGCTAACCTGATTGGGGTGGTGTTCTCAGGATGAAGTGTGGTGCCACACCTCTGCCAAACATAGTGTTTAACATTGAGGCTAAACAGATCAACTGGTCTTATAGAATCTTCTTTAACTTGGTCTCAGTCTACCATATGCCCCTGGCAAACTGGGGTCAAAATCTGGTGTTTTTTTTCCCAACAATTGCTTTCATTTTTCACTCTTCCATGAAGACCAGATTTGTGAAGAACCCAGGCAGTTGTTGTCATATGAATGGTTTCTCCCATTTCAGCCATGGAAGACTGCTGTTCCTTTTAGAGTTGTAATAGGCCTCTTGGTGGCCTTCCTGACTGGCACCCTTCTCGCCTGGGAGCTCAGTTTTTGAGGATACCCTTTTCCGTACAGATTCACAGTTGAACAGTTTTTTTTTTCCTCCATTTCTTTACAATGGACTTTATTGTGCTTTGGGGATATTGCCTTAGAAATTTTCTTATACCTTTACCCTACTTGGTGCTTTTCAATAACCCTGTCCTGGATTTGCTTTGAATGTTGCTTTGTTGTAATGATGTAGTTTTTGTTGGGAGCTGTACAGTATTAATCAATTGTGGGACCTGCCAGAGATAGGTGTGTTTAACCCAAACTCATTTGAAACCTCGTAATTGCACACGTGAATTCAATTAAACTAATTTTGTAATGTTTCAAGGCAACAGGGCCTGAGGTGTGTCATAGCAAAGAGGGTAAATACGCAGTTATTTTCTGTCTTACATTTATAATGAATTAAGGAGGATCTGTAGAATTTTATTTTCACTTTGATATTACAGAGGATTTTGTGTCTGGCAATAAATGGCAGTATATCCCAGTTAAATACATTATGATTCCATATTGTAACACAATAGAATGTGAACATTCTGAGGAGGGTGAATACTTTTGAGAGCCATTAATCAATTACCTCCTCCAGTTCTTCACACACACACTTCTCACACTCAACTGCTCTACACTGGTGGAGCTAAACTGCTTGTATGTGTATGTAACATGTGCGCTCCAGGACCTACTCTGCATGTGGCTTAGTGTCCTTGTCTGGAGTGTGACATAATAATCACCCACAGCAGTGAAAGCAGGAGGGGAGAGTGTGCACAGAAGTGCTGAATTCTAGTTCGTGTTGATAAAAATTGTAATTTTAGTGGCTGCATGCCTTCAATAAAAATGTAACCCTGATGTAGTTTCTTAAGGCATTTCACAGCAGCTGACGTAAAGAACGTATTTCATTCCGAAACAAGTGCTCATAGCACCTGAAGAAGGCTCCACGGCCGAAACGTTGTGTTCTCTTTCTTCTTTTTTTCAGCATGGAATAAACCTATTAGTCGTTCCTTTGCAGCCTACGCATGCTGACGCAGCTACCCACCTGAACCACATAGCAACCATGTTAGTTCTTGTGGAGATGTACAGTAATAACGCTTCTTCTCATCCAGTGGCCTTGCACTGGTATCTTGTCTAGCTGAAGTAAAAGCAGGAATAGTACAAGAAAAGACACCAGTCTTTTCACCATCGTGACTGCTGCACGGAGGTAACAGATGGGACACAATTTCAGCATGGGGGTGTCACACACAGGGGTCTTGGAGATCCACTTAGTCTTATTGGTCACTGTTTTTAGTGGTGGGCAACACCAAGCTGTTGAAAGCTATTGATGAACAGTTATTTGGTTGTCCCCCTTAAGTGCTGAAGAGGACCCTGGTTTTAGTGTCAACTGATGTCTTAAGTTACCAAATGTGTTTAATTAATCAGTGATTTAATGATGGCTTACAAAACCTGTTGGGCTGCTGCTCTCCAGGTCCAGAGTTTGAGTTCCTTGTACCTAAACAAAGTTCAAAAGGGTGTCATAAATCCTTAGAATATGATGCATTTTCCTTTTCTACCGGCTGTAGAATAAAGCTGTGAAGCAGTGTGCAATGTATCACAACTTTCACGCAAAAAGATTTCCTAATGTTCAATAAATGTACATCTGCTCACTAAACTGTCATTAAGGTTCACATTGCATGGCGTTACAGCCAATTTAGTTTTTATTGCCTCTGTTAAACCAAGGGCTTTTCAGAGTTACAACTTCCCATAATGTTTTGTTTCCATTACATAATAGATGTGTCTGTGGGAACTGTTGTTAATGTGTTTTCTAAATAAGAAACTTTTACATCTAAAAATGTAAAAAGTGTTTATTTAGAAGTGATTTTCTGCAGGCATAGTGTATTGCAAATATATAATATTAAACATGGGGGGACTGACAATGCTTTCTAAAATGGTAAAAATCTAAATATTTGGAAAAAGTGAAGAATTTTAATATATTAATTGTTAAGTTATGAAGGTGATAATTATAAAGAAAAGTATTGCTACAACCTCAATGTCAAAGTAGATTTAGATTTTAGATATTCCCCAAAAGTGAATACTGTAAACAATTAAAGAATCATTTCAGGGTATAGGAATATTTGTATCCCCTGACTTTCGGATCATTTTTAAAAATTGATCTGATACCTTTTTAACACATCCTTATATCTTGCTTGCCACTGAGAAACATGCAAGTGTAGCTCCCTCTGCACAGTATTAAAATGAAATGACTCCCTAATGAGGTTTTAATAGTTCATGGATTCACACCCAAAGGCTGCATCTCCTTGGTAATTGGACATCAATTCAAACACTGTTTCTTAACCCAGTGGTTGGTCTGAATCTACAACCATGTTGATTTAAGGTGGGATAGGTCCAGTTTGAACCATCTATTTTGAAAATGCTACAAATCTGTATTCAGAAAAACAAAAAAATCATTAAATAGTAAAAAAAGAGCACCCCATTAAGTCATGAGTAAGTATGCAGTTTTAACCATATTGTAGGGGCATGAGTTTTCATCTTTGAAACGCAGACCTAAAGTGATGACCTGGTTGGTGGAGCCTGTAGTATGCTGAATTGTTCCATGTGTGCTGACAAGGCAGAAAATAGCTTAAATAATGTTTCAAATTCAAGGCAAGGGAGGGAGGTTGAGTAATGCAAGAAATTCTCATTTGTTTTGCTGTTTTTTTTCTTCTCTGACTTTGTAACAAACATTAATTTGTTAGTATAAATTGTGTCATCTAAATAAGCTGGTTTTGCTAGCCTGTTATTTAAGTTGTCAGGATGGAAAAGTGAAGCATGCAATCAATTATTCTCCGTCTCGTGTCCCATGTTTTTCATAGCGGAAGCAGTGCAGTAGCTGTCATACAGTCCCATATTGACCAGCTGCTATCTGGGCTTTTAATCAGGATTGCCTGATTGTATGTTGTTCATTGAGCTGATGATTGCAATGTTCAGAAGTTGTATCTGCCCGGTAAAACATGGGCGTTAAGTTGTGTTCCAGATTCAGTGGATTTATGCTTCGTTTCAAACATTGTCACAGAACATGCTTTTTTATTGTATTGATTGATTTTCAGCCCACCGGAGCTCTCATTTATGTATCCAGACCTTTTAAATAAGCTACCATCTTGCGTAAGTTCAGTTGTTTCCAGTTATTTAAATCATTGAATATTTCAAGGTATCTGTATAGCAGCTTGAACCAGACATGTTTTGGGAACTGAAAACAACTTAAAATACCTGATTAACCATTTTGCTAGTTTCGTTACTTAGTTGCCATAAGTAATGGGGAGCTCGACACATATTGTCCCAAGATCCGTGTTGAAAACCATGTCTTAAAACCAAACCTCATCTTCAGGGTCCAGCAGACTTTCCCTATTTCTTTACATTACTCACAGGTTAAGTACCTGTGGGTAAATTAGTCTGTTTAGGCCTTAGTTGGAACTATTTAACTCTTCTACAAAGTAGCACTATTGATAACACTCAAAATGTCCTCATTTACTTTCCTCCCACTACCTGGAACTTAGTCTGTTTTGAAACAGGCTTGTATTTCTGTATATTGTTGGCACTTGCACATCAACATATACTGTACAGGATTTCCTTAGTGTTTTTTTTGTTTTAGTCAAGGAATATGTTAATGCTGGTTTATGACTCTGAACCACTGTGCTTGTGACTTCAGACACATTTGTGAGGTCTTATTATTTTCTGAGACTATAACACCTTAACAGGCCTCTGGCCAGGGTGAGTGCTGATTTCCATCAGCTTTATTACTGTCTCAAGCCACTTTTTGCACATTTATTGAAAGAAGAAAGGTTGGTTCTGCTTCTCCATGTCTGCTGAATGTGACACACTTTTTTGGCAGACTAATTGAAAGCAAAGTGATTCCAAACTTCCCAAAGCAGATTTCAGTAGTTTAGGATTTCAGGTGTCTATTCCAGACAGTTTTTCAACAATTCCTATGCATTTGTACCTACTGCATGGTTTGGCAATGCCTCCATCTGCCTCCAAACTTTGAAACGTATTTTTCAAGTATCCCATCTTCTCTTCTAGTTTTCTTATTATACCTGAGCTGTGCCTTTTGGTTTAGGCTCCTGTTTCATTTTGAATTGGTTTGAATTTGTTGATTTCCTCTGATGAAGACACACCTGAAGTTCAGTGCTACAGTACCTGTCATAGTTGCCCCCTGCTCTGTCTCAGTTGCGTTAAAGTGCATTTTAAAATTCTAAGACTGTAATAGCGTAAT